GATATATTCAAGATAGACAATTCAGTTAGTCTCTCTAAGGTGACTAGAAACAACAAATTATGAAAGTAGCTGGGATAATAGATCATTTCAAAGGTTACCCTGTGAGATTTTCAGAGAAGAAAGAGATCAAGGAAGAGCTTGAAATGAGAGAATATAGAATGTTTGCATAGATGCACATCATATAATATACTTTGAATTTACCTTATATTTATCATGCATATGTCATCATTAAAAAGCATCAAGTCAATATTCAAGTAATTTTGGTCCAAAACAGTTTACAAACACAAAAGCTGTTAAAGGATTCCATTGCATCACATTAGGCTTCTTCAATACATGGGTGCTTCAATCCAGAGAAATCTTTAAAAAGCTTTGTAGAGCAGGAGGGCTTGGTAAATAAAATATACCAGTGAATCCTTGCCACATGCACCAGAGCAGAATGCTCACAGATAGAGTGCAAATACAGAAATAGAAAATCTAGAAAATTACAGAGCAGCAAATTCAACTGAAGATGCAAAATTTTCTCAAACATACACAACACTGAACTACCAATTGTTAAATTGTTCTTATTCCATTATTCTATTCCAAAACACTACAGGTTAAGATGCTAACCAGTTCTTTATAAATGGCATCAAATATTTCCCTATAAATACAAAGAGATAACTCTTTAGATAAATATTTCAATAATTTCAAATAATTATCACTTGAAGCAATAAGAAAGAGAATGCTACTGCACATTTTTTTCATGCCATTAAAGTGTAAAAAAGAGTATTTCAGAATTCTTTAAATATTGTAAAAAGAATTTTTTCTAATATCATATATTGTGCAGGTCAATAAGGATTAGTAATATATTAGCATTATAAAGTAGAAATAACTAAGCAGTTGATTTTTTAAATGTAGTTCATTCGTTTATAATAGATTATAGGATCTACAATTAACCTCAGAAAATAATTCACATCTTTCCTCAAATTGAAACTTTTTTGAGTGAATATAAAATATGAGTGACATATAAGGGGTCTTAGAGGAGCAAGAAGAGAATCTGAATATAAACAAGCCATCATTCTGGTAAAAGGAAATACAAACAACTGGAATAAAAATAGTTGATGCACAAAAGCCATAATGAGGGGGTAGCTCAAAAAATAACTTCTGCTTTGAATGGTTTGGATGAAATACAAATTATCCACAGAAAAGTGTGGACTGGCATAAATGTTTGTACAAAATTATAAGTGTATTTCAAGAAGTATGCAAGAGGCAACCGCTTGCATGATGCACAAGGTCCCGGCGATGCTCTGTTTAAGTGCTAGTGCACAGAGTCCAAACCACTGCATTTTAATTACCATGCAGCCTCAGATATATTGCCTTTGATATGGAAATGTTCTTGTTCTCTCATCTTCACATATGGTCTCATGCACAGAAATCTTTATCTGATTCATAAAAAATAAACTAGAATCCAATCTCTACACCTGACCTCAGTGCTTAGAAGTTTTTTACTAAGCATGGTGTCACTATAAAAAGAATGGCTAATATTAGTGTAAAGTTGGATATTTTGAGCAATGATATGAAGGATTTGCAGTTAAGAATTGAATCGATACTGTTTCTCTGAGGTTTTAGGATTTTATGTTTCCTTTTTGAGACTACCACCGATGTGAGGAAAAACAGACCAGCACTCTTCTTTTGGAGGTTAGAGAGTCCTTAGTATATTTAAATGATATCCCATCTTACAACCCCCATGCACATTCTTCAATTGGTATTTTTTACAAATTAGGACAATCGGTACTTAAGACTTGAAAAGTTCCATCAAAAACCATCAAAAGTTCCATTTTAACCATGACACAAGTTTAAACCTATTTTCAGTATGACTAAATGTCTAAACAAAATAATTCACTGAAAAGCTTTTACCCTCTTCCACAGAACAGGAAAAATAAAAACACATTTCTATGAATGAATAATGAATATGTAACAAGAGAATGATGAAAGTTTCTGATATAACTCTTATCAAAAAAATTAGTTTTCAAATCACAGGTGAGATACTACAAGCCAAAAGGATAAGTTATACATTTAAAAGGTGCTTACATCTAATAAAAATTGCTTTTCATAGACTATGCTGGAGTGGTAATTTTTTTTAAACTTTAGTATGTTGAGATTAAGAGTATAATCAGTAGAAAATGTGGAGTAAGAATAAAGGCATAAAATGTTAAATACACTATTTCCTTGTTAGGAAAAATATAATAGGGGAGATAAATAAGAAGCAATCTAAATACAAAGTTTATTTCTTCCTGTAAAGAGCAATGAATACTTGTTCATGTTTTAGCAAGTTTCTATAATAAAATCTTTTCATTAAATGTCATTACCTGCATAACTTGATAATTCTGAAATAACCTATATTCTTTTTTAAACCAGTCATACGACCCATCTAACCTCATGAGAGCAGATAATACGTCCCATCTGCAAATCATCTTGCTGCACGTTATCTGTGTTTTATCATTTCTAGTACCTGTCTGTGCCTGATGTGATACTCTCAGACACATTAGCTTGATGGAATGTTTCACTGGACTTCAAAAACATCAATTGATATATATGTGCACCCCTAAACTATATTTAAACAAACAGCTCTTATACCAACCAAAAATTTAGTTGTATTGTACTATACTTGGAGAATGCTGTTTGTAAGTAGTAAAATACGTGTCTATAAATTCCCTTACTAACAAGAGAATTCTTTTGAACTTAAGGGATTTATAACCTAACAAAACTGAAAAGCATAGAAAATATTAAAAGTAAGGCTTAACACCAACATATATCAAAACTTATTAAAATAAAACTCATTTATTCCACTACCTATTGTGCTAATTAAAAAGAATTATTTAAAACATCACTAATTTCTTCAGTAGAATATGACTATGTGTAGCAATTTTATCAATGACCAATAACCCAATAATTCCTTTAAAAAGCTCAAATAAAAACAGAGAAAACACCACCGAAGTATATCATTTATGTACTGAAGGTAATATTTGAAAACCTTACAAAGAAGGATTTTCTAGGTACATTAGCATATTTTAGATATATGTTTTTCCCTAAGAAAAATATCTGTTGATTTCTGCTACTAAGGAAAAAATGTCCAACAGACAATGTAATACTCGTAGTGAATGTCATTTCTTCCAGCTGTTACCGAATTCATTATAGAATCACTTTAAGGTATACAAATTGATCATTTTGATAGATTAATGTTTTGTATCTTTAGCTTTCTTTATATATAATGTTGAGTGTTATAGTTATATAATACACTGTTATAAGTGTTTCTATGATGCTCCATAATAATAAACTCATACATTTTGCATTTAAAAGTTTCCTTCTCACTACTTCCAAAACAAATACTAAGAATAGCATTAAACAGGATGAACAATTGTTAAAAACTATCTCCCTTTGCCAGTATACATAATGAAATATGGCAGGAGAGCAGAGGAGAAAGGAGGTGTTGGTAGTGCATGAGAATAGCAACAGAGGATGTCAGTTTGCCTAGGCAGTTAATGACCTAGCATTTATCTAGATCCTGGTTACTTACTGCCTTTGGTCATGAACTAGATCTATTCTAAGTGTGGTGGTGCACACTTCCTTGCTTTCAGAGTCTGAATGATTTCATTTTTTGGTTAGTTGTTGTTCTTGTTGTTTTAGGATAAGGACAATCTGTCTTGAGTTTTGAGGTTTCCAAAAATGTAAGAGAAAAATGTATATGTCCTTAGGCCTACTGCCCCTGTGCTCACATATGCATATTCTGAAAGATACTCTCAAAAGCATATAAATCATACATTTATGGTCTGGTAGAGTTTAAAAATTCAGTCATAACTTCCCCCATATAAGAAAATGAAATATTTCATTGGTTCAATCAAAGTCCAATGCAACTAAATAACACTGTCTCCACCTCCCACCTGAAAGGTGCACTCTTGCTGTCATAGCAAAGCTAACTCTGCCCCACTCAACTTGTGTTCGGTTTAAGATGTTTGCTTGTGTGTGTGTGTGTGTGTGTGTGTGTGTGTGTGTGTTTGTTTTAAAATAAAAAGAATCTTCTAGTAGATATCAGATACATCTGAGCAGTATAAACACAAGGGGAGGAGGGAGACTGATGAAAGTGCCTAATGTTGAGTGTGGAATTCCATGGTGACTGCACAGGGTGACAGAGGGAAGGTCGTGTTCATGGCTGCAGAAATCTGGTTCCCACCAGAGAGTACAGGCAAAAGCTGACCTGAGACTGAGATCTGAGAAACTAGGTAAGAAGCTCAAGCACCAGTCTGGGTACAGATAGAGAGGGCAAGGTACTGCTCCTAAGAACTGAGCAAAAGTGAGACAGCAAGAGACAGCAGATCGGTCCAGGCTCGCCCCACAGTGAACACTAGCAGCCCCAAGCGGCTAGGCCTGGAGGGGGAAACGGTAGCTACAATCAGGACACAGACACTAATTTGCTGAGAAACCTCTGGGGTGGGGGCGGAAGGAATCACACAGACAGATGAAGGATCCAAACTAGAAGCTGAAGCCCCTCCCCAAGCAAGGATACCTGCCCAGCCCAGACGGGCCCAACAGTATTCGTGCAGACAGGGGCACTAACAGCCTCCCCCACCATGGGCGGGGTGTGGAGAGCAGGTACACTGCCAGATTTACACTGCATCCCCTTTCCTCATTCAGTCTGCACCCTGACACTGGTGTCCGCTTTACCCCTCTAACCTGTAGTTACTCTTCAACCGAAAAACAAAAAGAGCTGAGGAACAGGAAAAAAGAGAGATAAATCAAAGACAAGGCTACAGTGCCACAGTCTTCCCGAGTGCAAGAGCCTCCAAGGGCTGTCCTGGCTGTTCCCACCCTTCTTCGGAATCCAGCAACCCAGAATGGAGCTGAGTGGACCAGGTCGGCCAAGCCCGTGCCTATGGGCCTCGGGCCTCAGGGACGAGGTGCTGAGTGCGCAAGCTAATTATACTCGTGGCATTTGGGCAGCCGACTGTCCAGTGACACCTTACCTTATGAGGAAACGTCAACCCAAGCAACTGTTCAAAACAAAATGCCATCGCGGGATCAGCTTCGCCAGCTCTTGGCGGGTTCGGGATTGCTTTTCCCACAGCCTCTCACACTTAGCAAAAGAATGTGGCCTGAGGAGGCCAGCCGTGGGCGGGCGGACCCGCCAGGGTTTGGGGGGGATAGGCGGGGCGGTCCTTGCCAGGTGTCCGTCCAGTACCCCCTTCGCCATGGACCAGCTTGCGGACCCGACCACTTGACCTTTTTATTCACCAAACCCACCTCCTAGAAATAGACTGGGCGGGGCTGTGTCTGTTCTCCTCGGGAGCGGGACCTGGGCATGTGACTATAAAGGGCAGAAGAGAGGGGACCCTGGGGAGGCGGGGGAGAAGGGGCACTCTCGCATCCCGACTCCACTGGGTTGCTGGCCGGGCCGCCGGGCCGGAGCGAAGGGCTGGCCCCTGGAGCGCGCGCCGGGGTCAAGCACCCCGGGCAGGGACGTCATCCGAGTGCCCTACTGACAGTGCGGCAGGAGGTCCGGAGCCCAGCCCAGTTTGCCGCAGCAACGGCTTCGGGCCACCTCCAGACCGAAACTTCAAGCACGGCCCTCGGAGGAGGTCAGACACAGAAGCAGCCGGGGACAGCCCATCTCGCTAACAGTCCAGCCCTGCCAGCAGAGTCGTAGATTTATTTTTAGTCCCCAAATAGGGGCAGCATTCAATATCTGGCAATCCATACAAACAAACGTATTCAAACTTGGTCAGCCTACGAGAGCTTAAATAAAACTCAAAACACGCCGGCCACAACCACCTTTTATCTGCTCTGAACACACCAATTCTCTTTTTATCTTAAAGCTCCGCGGAGCGCCCGGGAAACGGAGCTAATCTGTCCTCCACAGCTGCGGGCGCTCCTCCCGGCGCCCGCGCACTACCCCAGCAGGCTTTGCACAAGCCCCTTCCTTTCTCCGACCAGCATTTAAGGGAGAAAGAAAAAAGCTGCTCCCCCGGGAGCGGCCCGGCTCAGGCTCGTGGCAGCACCGCCCCCGGGCCTGGGCCGACCTCAGAGCCGCAGATCTCGGTTGGTCTGCCGAGAGTGCTCGGAGGACAGGCCCAGAGCAGGGCGCGGAGAGGGACGGAGGGCGCCAGCGGGGCTCCGGGACACCGAGTGGGGAGGGCGCGGGACAGAGAAGTGTCGGCGACTGTGCGGGGGGCCGGGGACTCCTAGGTGGAGCCCGCGCCCCGCAGGGCAGGCCGGCCTGTAACACACGCCCCCGCCGGGCCCGGCTCCACTGCCCTAGAGTCCCTGGCAAAGAGGACCACAGATTAGCACTGCGTTTCGGATTGTCTTGGAAATCGGTTTGTTTATTCCTAAAGAGACCATAAAAAAGTCACGTCCGAAAATAAGGGTAAAGAAGAGGAAGGTAGAGAGCGGAGGGAACTAGAAGCGACTCGCGAGGGTCCCGGGAAAGTTGCGGCAGAGCGGCGGCGGGGTGAACGCGGGAGGAGGAAGCGTACGGGTTTTCTAGCGACCCGGGTTTTCTCTATCAACTCCTCCCGGGAAACTTCACCCCGGCGGAGAACCCGGCTCTTGCCAGCCCTCGCCCAGCCCAGCGTCAACCCCACAAATAGCCGGAGTTTCCAAACCAAAATGGGGGTGGGGTGGGGGAGCGTTAAGGAGCCTAGAAACCAGCGAGTCCTCCCCACCTCCCGCACCCGGAGCCTGGCTGACACCGAAGCGCTCCGGAAAACTGCGCCTCAGCAGTCAGTCACACGGCGAACCAACCCAACACTTTTCAAGAAAACAAAATATTCGCTGGGAAACTTACTTTGCATTTAGTCTCTATTCTTTGGGGGGATGCGGTTTAGGTCGGCTCGTAAGCAAAGCTCGTTTTGTCCAGGTTGGATATTGTCTACTTATGGATCAGCCCTTGGGTGAGGGTTTATTTTAATTTATGGCTTATGCATTCTTTTAAGGTCGATTTACATGACCTCCGGCTACAACTTAAGACAGCCGAGGAGGGCACTCCAGTCGTCAGTCGGCCAAACCCACAATTAAAACAGCCCTCCCCCAAGTCTTGGTGTGACTGGGACTCTCCCGAGGTAGACTGGCTGCCTGCTTTTCTCTTTTTTCTCTCTCTTCTTCATCCATTTGTCTTTTTTTTTCTCCTTTCTCTCTCTCTTTCTTTTTTAATATCACAAAATAAGATGAGCTATCAGTTTGAAAGTTTCGGTGTAACTTTCTCTAAGCCCAAGCCTGCGGCGATAAGGAGAGATACAGCGCTCACAAAGCCCTCAGGATGCTGCCCTCTTGTGGGAACAAAGGGCATCAGCACCGGCTGAGCCCCCTCGCAGAGCACACACGCACAGGCCGAGAGAGAGAGAGAGAGAGAGAGAGAGAGAGAGAGAGAGAGAGGGAGGGAGGGCGAGCTACGCACGCAGGCACACAAGCTTCTTACATCACACACTTGCACAAACTTCAATGAGATACCTACCTCAAACTTCACGGAGCCCTAAAAATGCACTCTCTAAGCCACCTGACTTCTTTTTCCTACCATCCCCAGTGAAGCCGATTATAACACCTATAAGGGGAGGCCGCGGAGACGGAACAAGGTGGGCCCAGAGGGCGGACAGATTTCCGGACGAATACTTAGGAGGGCGATAACAGCTTTCTGTTGTCAGCGGTTGCGGGGTCTGTCTCACTTCCCCGCCCTTTCTGCCTGAGTGTCCTACGCACAAGTTATCTGCAGCTACAGCATGAGTTTTCTCGGAGTGGACTTCGGGATTTGGGGGTGGCGAGAAAACCGCGAGCCCACCGCTCGGGTCTGTCACCGCCTCCGGAACTAGGCACCACTCTCCCAGAGCGGGACGCATCACCGGGCTCCGCGCGCGTCCGCCGGCGAGCGGCAGGCGCTCGGGCCCCTCTCCCAGACTCTGCCCTCCCTCTGTGCCGGCCCGCGCAGCGCCCTCCTCCCGCTCCGCCTCCCCTTCCCCTCCCCAGCCCAGCGCGGAAGCCCGCTTGGACCGGCCCGCGGCCGCGGCTCCTGGGACCCCAAGCCGGCGCGGGGCTCGCGCGCTCTGCTCCAGCCCGCCGCCGGTCCTGCCCCGGCCCCCCAGCCCCTAGCTCGGGCAAACTAACCCTGCGGCTGCCGGGAAAGGCGGGGGCGCAGGCACGGAGGGATGGCGGCCCGGCCCGCGGTTCCCGCCCCTGCCCCTCCGGCTCCCCAACAGGTAGCTCACAAACGGGCCGCGCGCTCTTGCTCGACCTCCCTCGCTCTCCAGATCGCTCGCTCCGTCCCGGTTACCTGGGCGGGCTCCAGGATGGTACCGTGCGGGAGGGCTCCTTGTGCGCTGCGCCGCGGGAGTAAATGGCATTAAAGAAAAAGGGAAAGATACAAATAAAAAAAAAATCTCTTAAGGAAGGGGAGTCGATGCTAGGTCAATTAGCACAGCCCCGGGAGCGAGAGAGCAGAACCCCCCCAGCGCCGCGGCAGGCGCAACCCGTTAACTCGAGTCTGCGGGGGGTGTCCCGCCCCAGGCGGGGGAGCGCTGACCCGCAGAAGTTTGCTGCCGGGAGCCAGGCAGTGCGCGCAGAGCGGGCAGACTAGGGGTTTCCCCCTTGAAACAAGTGAAGGCGATGGTTAGTGCTGTCAATCTTGGCAATCAGTGTGAGCGGCCATGTCGTAAGTATTCAAAGCATTTCCCGTCGTGCAACATCAGAAAGTGAGTGGCCAGGGCATTGATCTGAGCGAGGGAGAGGAGGCAGGGCTCCCCTCCCAGACAACACAGGCAAGATGAGACAAGAGGCGAGGGAGGCAGCGAGCCAGGCAGGGAAGCTGGGAGGGAGGGGGAGGGCCGAGGGAAGGAGAAGGAGGGGAGAGCGGGAGGCACGGACGAGAGAGCTGGAGAGAGAGGGCAGAGACCGGCGGGAGCGGAGGTTGGAACTGTGGGAAGCGCCTGGGAAGAGAGAGCGAAGCGACTACTAGAAGGAAATGGGAAGAGGACAAAGAAGAGGGAGAGCTGGGGTCAGAGGGGATGGTGGCGAGTATTAGGTGGGGGACGGGCTGAGGAGTAAAGGACCCAAGGAGCGCTGTCAGGACCGGTGCTGCTGGGACGAGTCGAGAGGGAGGCAAACTGAAGTGGGGGAAAGGTAGACGACTGGGGAGAAAGAGCAAAGTGGAGGGGAGGAGAAGGTAAAGTCAGAGAGGAAAATGTACGGGTGAGAGTTTGTGCTTTGAAAAAGTTGGGAGACAGAGGAAGAATGGGCTGGAGGGTGAGAAGTACTGAACTGAACCGCAGAAGTGAATCATGAGAGATACAGAGAAGGGAAAGGACAGGGGCTGAAGCAGACCAGGAAGGAGGAAAGAAGGGTGAATATTAGATGAATAGTAAGAAGGATGAAGGCACGTGAAAAAGAAGGAGTGTCGGAAACAAAGTAAAGAAAGAGGTGCAGGCAGCAGAAATAATGAAAACACACTATTTAATAGGAGCTCAGTAAATGAGAGAAGATAATGTACGTTAAAAGATGCAGGAGGAGGAATTGAAAGAAAAAGCAACTGACCTAAGAGGTTCTTGGCTTATATAGGTGGCAATGTTCTGGAGGCCATGTGGATCATGGAGTTTATGGATGAAAATTATTATAAGTAACAAGACACAAACTACCAAAGAAAAAGTAATCGTACATTTACAACAATAAATCAGTTCCAGTGAAGTTTGGAACTGGATAAGTTTTTGTTACATGAATTGGGTGGGTGATATATGTGTATTATCTCAACTTGGTATAGGAATAAACTTGAAGAAACAATTTCAAAAGGGGCGGCTTGGAAGTTATAGATAATGAAATGAATTTCAGTCACCGAGGGCAGCATGTAAAACTCCCTAAGTCAGATAGATGCAGGAAATTAAGTTAATAAAAACCCCCCAAAAATATGTGAATTAAAGATTCTTTAATGCATGTGTAGGGTATATAAAAAGATTTGAAGGGTATAGAATGTCCTAAAGAGACAAAGACCTTGAAGTTTATCTCAGTTCAAAAAAGCTGGGGGACTGGAAAGGGAGGGAATAATTATGAAGTCAGGTAATAGATATGCAGAGTCAGAGAGGCAGATGAGAAAACCAGCTCTGAGAGTAACAAACACAGCTAAATAGAGGCAGTGTGTATGAGGTGAGGTTGGCCTCCTTAAACCAGGCCCCAAAAAGAAGACTATATTTCAGAAACTGAGGTCAGTGGAGAGTCAAAATTTCATCAAGTTTAAAAACTTGAGAGGTTGTGACATACTAGCATAAGGTTTGTGGAAGAAGAAGTCCTTCCTCTGTAGAAACCAATATGAGATGACCACTTTGAGACACTTCGTAAATAGACACTTTCTGAAAAGATACGGACCGGGAGAGAGGGGTCAGGAATTATGACTAGAAACACAAGAATACTCATGGCAGCCCAAAGTTGCCATTTTGAGGAAGACCTCCCACAGATGAAGCGATAAAAGATAAAGGAGAGAAAGCTTCACAAAGGAAGATGGAGAGAGTAAGCAAGCCTGAAGATGGAACAAGCTGAGGTGTCAGTCATGTACCGACTTCTTCAAGTATAATCCATGTTCAGTTTCACACGCGTTCCAGACAAGAAAAGGAAAAGGACAGAAATGGGGGCAGGGATGACCAACTGAAACAAGTGGGACAGAACGAATAACTACATTCTTCTGCCCCA